CACACACACACACACACACACACACACACACACACAGAAGCACGTGTATTCACCCAGAGACACACCCACACCCACCATGCACACGCGGCCCCTTCCATGCCCCAGAGTTGTGGGCCTCGGAGATGCCAGCCCGGATGGACACCGCGTGCTTCCTGCTGCCCCTGAGTCTGAACTGGCCTCCTTTTCCCAGGCCCATCTTCCTCAGAGCATTAACCCCTGTGGAGGAGGTGGATCTCTTCCCTCCAAGAGCCCCTCCCAGGCCTGATAGGAATGGGTCCATGGCACCCGGTCAGTGTCTGCTCTGCCATGAGTCCAGGCAGCCTCCACGGTGCCCTGCCCATGGGTGGACAGAGGGACAGACAGATAGGGGGCTCACTACTTCCTCCAAGGGCCCCCACAGTAACAAAGCTCTTCGAGATGGGCAGGTCTTGTGACCGTGGGCTCTAGGTTACCCTAGGTTGCCCCGGCTCAGCAGACCAGGGTATCTCCTCTCTACACCCTCTGTTCCAGTCCTCCGCCACTACCCTGGAATGACACGGCACCAGCCTTCTCCCTGGCTTTTCCCTTCCACGACTCATTCCTCCTTTCCCGTACCTGCCCTTCTGCCAGGAGGGCTCTAAGCTGGCACAGTCCTTTTGGAGGCTGGAGCAGAGTAGAGGGGTACCTTCATCCTGGGAAACAGGGTCTTTCCCTGCACCACCGAGGGCGCCCACCCGGCTGGGAAATGACAGCTCAGGCTGCTGCTCCCCACTGATGAAGGACGCACCAGATCCCTGCCTCTCGGCCACCACCAGCCTGCAGGCCTGGCGCTGGCAGAGACGCCTGTGGTGCTGTGCCATGGCGGGGGCCACGGCAAGGACAAGAGAGGGTGAGGGTGGTGGGCCGGAGAGCAGGGTATGTGCGTGTGTGTGCAGGTGTGTAAACCACAATACAGTGAGCAGGTGGGTAAACAGGTGTGTGGCCACACGCAGAGCTGCTCAGTGTGCATGTGATGTGCGTGCTGGGTCATGCGTGCGCATGTATGCGTGTTTAAGTGGACGTGCACGTGTGTGTTCCTGAGTGTGGGCTTGTGCGTGTGTGGGCATCTAAGCACATGTGTCCGTGTATATATACTCCTGGGCCTGGGTATCCACACATGCATTTTATGTGCGTGTGTGTGTGTGTGTGTGTGTGTGTGTGTGTGTGGTCATACGCACATACACCGGTGCACAACACACGTGGTAGTGTCCATATGTGCATCTGTGCGCCCGGGGATGTGCACACACATTAGTGGCAGGTAACGGCATGCGGTCACGTCAGTGCCACGTGCACCAGATGTGGGTGCACCGTCTGTGTAGCTCAGGTCCTTTGCCGGCAGGGGCCCCTCCCTACCGCCTGCCCCCCAGCTCCAGCCATGGCTCACCGGAGTCGGACTCGTCAGGGCTCACGGAGCTGAGCAGGTCCTTCTCCTTCTCGTAGTCACCCTTGCACAGCAGCTGGCCCTCCTTGAGCACAAACTCGTCGCCCTTGCGGAGCTGCCGCTCACACACACAGCAGCAGAAGCAGCCCAGGTGGTACACACACTCCAGTGCCCGCATCACAAACTCCGTGGGGGCGATCTTCTCCATGCAGCCGCTGCACTTGGCTGCGAAGAGCCTGCAGGGGTACAATGTGGGCGCATTGGCTAGGCTCGGGGGTCCCTCCCAGAGGCCACTGCCCATCCAGGGCTGGCCTCTCCCTCCTGCCACCCTGGCCTTCCACCCCAGGCAGGAGAGGCCCACCCTGGGCACAGAGCCAGACAGCGGGAGGCCCTGCAGCCCTCCTCCACTGGCTCCCAGGGCCCTGGTGGCTGCAGGGTGGGCGCTGGGCATCCTGCCCAGAGATGCGCTCCCTAGGTGTGTCAGCTCAGGGTCTTTCCTGCTCAGAGACACAGTGGCCACTAGAGGGCAGAGCACAAGGTCGGCCTTAACCTTCTCCGAGAGCCAGGTGGTTCCTGCCCTGAAAAGGGCAGGCTGGTCTACCCTCACCCCAGAACCTGCTCCGTTTCCTCCTTGCTTGCCCCTCTCTCCCACATCCAAGCAATCCTTGGCCTCGTCCAACTCACCACCCAAGTGAGGCCCCTCCTCTCCTGCCTGAGCAGCTGCCCTAATCCCCATCCTGGGCTCCTGGCCCCTCTGACCCTTCAAACTCACCCCCCAGGATGAGAGCCAGAGGGAGCTGTCTGCAACACACATCTGCTCATGCTGTTTCCCTGCTCCACGCTCTTCCGTGACTCCCTGGTGCCTCAAGGCCCTTTACATCCTGCCTCTCTCTCTGTCTTTGCTCCCCCAGGCCATGGCCCCGTGCAACAGCCTGCAGTTTCTCCAGGCCACCTTCACACTGGCCTTTCAACATGTTCCTTCTCTGCCCCTCAGCTGAGCTGACACCTGCTTATGCCTCATTTCAGCTTAAGTATCTTTATCACACGCAGAAATTCACTGAGCACGTACAGTGTGCCAGCCGCTGTTCTCGGCACTCTGTAGGCAGAAATGCATTTAATCTTTGCAACAACGCTGTGAGACAGGAGCGAACACGGATCCCATCTTAGTGATAGGGAAACTGAGGTGCCGAGAGGCGGAGTCACTTGCTCAGGGTCACATGGTAATAAGTGATGGGGCCGACTCGGAGCCTGGGCCTGATCCAGCCCCTCCACGACGAAGCGGACCCAGCTTCCATCTCTGGAGACAAAGCCAGGCGGGGGTCTCCATGCCTCCAGCCAGCATGGGCAGAAAGGTCTGAGCAGCACGGCCCCTCCCCTGCCCTCACCTACTGACCGCTCCTCCCGGCTCCCCCCTCCCCGTCACGTGCCCTGCTCTGTGGGAACTCAGCCTCAACAACACTTTGATGGAAAAATTTATGAAGAATCAAATTATTGCTGCTGGGAGGGAATTAAAACCATTTTTCATTCCCCACGTCCCTGGGCCACGTCTGCGGGCGCCACCCTGGGAGCGCTGTGCACATCCCATCCCTCTTTATGGCCCGCCATCACAGGCACGGATTACAGCTGCAATTCTCTACTAATCGGTTCTGGAACAGAAACGGCCATAAATGCAAGGCACTCGGCCTGCCTCCCTTCCCGGGGCTGCCATCAGCACCGCCCACGACGAGCGAGTGGGGCGCGGTGGACAGGGCCAATCTGAGGTCTGCCTGCTGCCCTGGCACTGGCCAGGGCACTCAAATTGGGGGCATCCCCAGCAACCCTGTGCCACCCGCCTCTGTGCTACTGAGCGGGCTCCTACTCATCCTGCAGTGCCCAACTCCAAGGCCACCTCCTCTGGGAAGCCTTCTTTGATGTCCCAGTCAGGGAAAGTAGCCTCCTATGTGCTCACCTGAGATTCCCTCAGGCCTCGGTTCCCTCTACTGTGAAATAGAGATGTCAACAGGACCTCCCTCAAAGGGCTGTTGTTAGGAGTCAATGATACTGAGCATGTAACTTGGTAAATGAATATCACATCACAGTGACTGCACATGTCAGCTTCCAACTCTTATAGGGGTTCCAAAGGCAGGACCTGGTTCTACATGATTCTCAAGGAGGGCTCGGTGAGTGTTTGCAAAGCAGGTGAGTGAAGGCTTGGGGTGGGCTGAGGCTCAGGCCAGGCTGTCAGCTGCAGGCAGCTGGGGCCCCACTAGCCCACATAGTACGTGGCTTTGCAAGGGGAACATGAGCTGGATTTCAGCTCCGATTTGGCTCTTTGGCTGGATTCCTTTGTTCAGGGTACAACCTACCCAACTGTCCATGGCAGCCTCAAGCAGAGGCCCCTAGTAATCTGTCTGGGTGTCCAGCTCTGCCAAGGTGCCGGGGAAGGAGCCACGTTTCCACAACTTGGTGCTCTGACGTGGAGGATGCTTCTGCCCTGCCCCCCTCACTGTCCCTCTGTCCCCTCCCCACACTTTGACCTCCTGATCTAGGTGCCATGCTAAGTTCTGCAGCCTGGCCCCAGTGGCCTATGAGCAGACAGGCACCAGCTGCATCTCTGTGCCGGCATGGCAGGGCCGGGGTCCCAGGCCAGGGTCGGCACACCTTGGGCGTCTCCCAGACGGGAGGCCTGTCTGGGAGGCCCTCTTAGGTAGGGGAGGAGGGCAGCAGGAGAGGTGACCCGCATTTGCAGGCACTGCCACCATGCAAGCTGCATTCAGAACATCCGTGCTAATGCCTTGGCAGCAGGGGGTCGATTGCTACTTTCTCCAAACTCATCAACACAATCTATTATTAATACTTCTCCAAAGGCTCAGTGCCGCCATTACGGAGGCAGCGCCAGCCACTCGGGGCATCATCTGTTATCTAGATTGCAAAAACTCGGGATATAAAACAAACTGCGCACACTTTATAAACGGAATGTGCCATCCTTTTGGTCTCCAAGCATCTCTCCACCCAATAAAACATCAGGGGGGGATGCATGAAATACTCGCTCCCAATTATGGGGCTGCCTTTGTCTACGGGAGCCGGAGCGAGCGCTACGAACGCATGTGTGGGAGGGGTTGGGGACACCAGCGGGGTCCCCTCCTCTCTGTGAGCCTCCCTCCTGCCCTCGACCCCTCCTGTCATGAAGGGCCGGTGGAACGGGCCATTGAGAAGCAGTCCCAGCCACAGGCCAGTGGCAGTGGCATTGGATGGACTTGGTTTCAACGCTCAGTTCCACCACTTCCTGGCTAGTGACTGCACAAGTAATTTCTGCTCTCTGAGCCTCAGTTTACTGATCTGTATAATGGGCTCAACAACACTGCCCGCTTCTCCATGTGAAGATGCAGCGAGTTTTCAGTGTAAAAGCCGTGAACATAGAGGGAGAGGTCAGTGAGCTGAGCAGGCCTTTTGAGGCCAGGAGTGGGCCTCTCCGGGAATGCCGCACAGAGGCTGCAAATACCGACAGAGATAGAGTTGCTCTGGCTGAGAAGCTCTGAGCCTTCCTGCCCCACAGGGGCCCTGAAGCCTGATGCAGAAGAAAGGCCCTGCCAGCACCCAAGGAGCCCAGGTCACGATCTCAATCCCGACTCAGCCACTCACCGTCTCTGTGACCTGGGGCAACTCTGGGTCTCTGTCCTCACCTGCAAGACGGGGACAATAGTTCTCACTCCCCAGAACTGTGCAGGGGGGTTCCAGATGGGTGTACTTCTGTTACCACACTTGGGCCAACAGGCTAGGATGGGGCAGGCCTGGGGGTGTGAGGGGATGGTGGGGGTGCCATGGAGAGGCTCTGAAGCTCTGGTTCCACCTGTGGCTTCCCCTCCAGCTGTCTGGCCCTCTTGGTGCCAATCCCCTGGCCCAGGCTCCTCCCCCAGTCTAGGAGCTCCAAATCCAGAGGGCACCTTTATGACCACACCACAGACACACAGGCTCACTGGCAACCCACAACCCCACTGTCCATGTAAACTGCCAATTCTTTCCCCCTGCTGTCCCTAGTGTCTAGAACACCATTCCTCCCACTCCCAACCTCTGACAACCCAACACCTGTGTATTCTGAAGGATTTAGCTTAGATAGCCCTTCCTCCAGGAAGCCCCCCTTCTTCTCTCCAGTCTCAGATATCCACCTCACTGAGTTGCTCATCCTCACACTCCCTCCCCATTGTAGTATTTATCCTGAGGACTCCACTTGATCAGTTTCCCGGTCCACTTTCCCCAGGATCACCTGTCTTCCGGGCTGAGCACAAGGCCCCGTGCTCTAAGGCGAGCAACAAATGTTTGTGGAATGAACACTGAACCAACCAATACAGTCTGGTCCCGCCTGTGAGGTAGGGCAACTTGGTCCCCAGCCCCAACCCAGTCCGATGGGGGCACCCACCACCTGCCCTGGGAAGACAGTGTTTGTGCTGGGGGGCGGGGAGGGCACTGCTGGGGCGGGCAGCCCAGGGTTCTACCCTGGCTCCGTAACTTTTTCCCAGTGTGAATTTGATCAAGACATTTAACTTCTCTGAGCCTCAGTTTCTTCATTTAAGAAACGGGAATGGTGGTACCTACCTACAGGGTTGTGAGAAGGCCCTATTGCACGTAAAGCCCTTGGCCCTATGCCAGCATGAAGAAGGCACCCCACAGAACTGCCATCTGCCTTTCTCTTGTTCCTTATTGTCCTTATTGTCGCCCTCACCGGGTCTCCACCACTCCTGGGAGCAGCTTTCCTGACACCAGGTTTACAGGTCCCAACCAAACCTCCCTGTCATGACCACCCTGGGTTCTGGGTCCTTCTAGCTTCTGTCTGGCCTGAGCTGGACAGAGCACTCCCGGCTCAGTTCTCTGTGTGCCTGTCTCACCAATGTGAATGAACTCAATTACCATCACCTGCATCACCTCATTAAGCCCTTGAAGAACCCTAAAAGGAAGACACTGTTTCCATTCCCATTTTACAGAAGAGCACACGAAAGTGCAGAGGGCAGGTTCAAGGTCACATGAGTCACAAGGTCACAAGCACCACCATATACTCCCTCCATGCTTTGTGCATTCAAGTATACTCAAGTGCATTCAAGTGCATTCTGCCCATCATTCACCCTTGTCCTTTGCTGGGGGTGCCATTCCCATGTCTGTCTGCCCTCAGGGCTCTGAATGCCCCAAGTTCTTATTACTCAGCATTGGCCCAGCACCCAGCAGGTGCAGCTGAGTGGGTTTCTCTTAAACCAAACTGAACATCTCCCCGTCACAAACACATCCTCCCTCCGCCAGGATCATCTGTGATTTTGGAGTAAGAAATTCCCTTTTTAGGGACGTCCTTCCCTTGAAGAGTCCCTGGCTATGAGAACACATCTCCATCTCCTCTGAGTTTTTATTGGTTTATTTGTTTAACGCTCAATTTATTAAATTCATGAAGCTAATAAAACTCTGAAAACCAATTTTTTTCTGGAGCAT